AATATTTTAGTAAGGACTCAGCAACCTCCATCAAGAGCCAAGCATGTTTTACATCATCTCATCTACTCTTCACAACAGCCCTGCAAAGTGACACTACTATTATCCACACCCATCAGAGGAGGAAACTGAGGCAGAAGTCACATCAGTGGCTTTGGTCATAGAGCCGGAGCCCAGGCAGCTCTGCCAGGTCCTTAGTGGCAGAGCTGTGCATTACATCACTGATTAGCCTCCACAACCCTGACAAGCAGTTTCAGCTCTCATTGCTCCATTTTACAGATGGGTCTCTTGAGGCACAGAGAAGTTAAGTAATTTATCCGATGTCACACAGCTGTTAAGAGCCTGGCATTTGGTATCAGTTATACCGTAGAGCTCTCCTTTTCAACACCTATATTTATTGCTTCAGTGAAAGCAAATAAAAAAAAAAAGTCAACAAGACTTAGGTGATGGGGTGAGAAAGCTAGACTGCTGAGAATGAAAATCTGCAATAAGTCCTTTCTAGTCCCTTTGATAGGGAAGGAAATGGCTACCCACTCCAGTACTCTTGGCTGGGAAATCACATAGACAGAGAAATCTGGCTGGCTACAGTACATGGGGTCTCAAAAGAGTTGGACACGACCAAGAGGCTAAACAACAGTTCCTCTGAGGATTGCATGGTCATTCAGAACACTCTCATCTCTCTTCAAGTTGGGTCCTCAAGCACCCCCACTCAAGGCTGACTGTTAACCCCACTGAGACACTGCCTGTCTGAGCAGGAACTACAGGCAGCCCCACACACACTCAGTCCATAACTTCATTGTCACTTTATTTAGAAGCAGAGGGACAGAAAGTTGACAACTTGTACTTCCCACTTATGCAACTGGGCTCCTGCCCAGAGTCATGGGTAAGAGCATGGGCTTTGGAGCCAAATGGTCACAGGTTCAAATTCCAACTTTGCTACTTGCTGGCTGTGTGACCTTCAGCAAGTTGCTTAACCTCTCTGAGTTCCAGTGTCTTTTCCTACAAAATGGGGGTAATGATATTATCTGTGTGCCTAGTTGCTCAGTCGTGTCTGACGCTTTGTGACTCCATGGACTATAACTTGCCAGGCTCCTCTGTCCACAGGATTCTCCATGCAAGGGTATTGGAATGGGTAGCCATTCCATTCTCCAGGGGATCTTCCTGACCCAGAGATCGAGCTCAGGTCTCCTGCATTGGCAGATGGATTCTTTACCATCTGAGCCACCAGGGAAGCCCAATCATATTATCTATCTTGTTGGATTTCAAGGAGTAAATGAAAGAATACAGATAAAAAGTTTAACACTATTCCTGGCTTAGAGTAAGCATATATAGTAAATGATAGCTATGATAATTACTATGGTTATGAACTTGGAAAAAATGACCTCCTGTCCCAGAAGGGTATGATGCCTTCCTCCATTCCAACCACAAGTATGGCTAACACAGAGAACTCTTCCCATGCTTCAGGCACTGTTCTTAGTGTTTTATGGACATGACTGTATTCAGCTCTTAAAAACATTATAAGATGGATAATTTTGTGACCCTCATTTTACAGATGAGAAAACTGAGGCACAGAGAGGTAATATGTCCTGTGTGGGGTCACAGCTGGTGACCCAGGAGCCAGGCTGTTAGTTTCCATGCTACCCTGCCTCCCAGATGAGTCCCTGAAACCCTGGAAACCGCAAAGAACAAACAGGCAGGGGTCAGGGTAAGCTGAGATGAGCAGAGCAGGATGGACGGGACTGGGCCACCATGTGAATGAAATAGCATGACGTCACCAGCGTTGACCCCTCAGGATGAATCACGCATTTTCTTGCTTCCTTGGACACTTCCAGGTTGGGGTCAGAAGCAGAAGTCCCGAGTGAGGAAATCTTGGGACAGGTCTTGCTGACGGAGATTGCAGGCCCAGCTCTGCAGACGGAGGCCAAGGGCAGGCATTGTTCTCTGGACGCCAGTTTCCTGAGTGGAGTCCTGCACAGAGCAGAGGGGCTGGGCTGCTGGAGCACAAATGGGGGCAGTGAGGCCAGGGAACGGGGAGAGGTTTTCTATCAAGACATTCCCTGCAGTGTCAGGGTGACAATCAGTCAGGGCTGGGGTGTCCATCAGATGCTGCTGGCTCTGACCTGTATTTTGATAAGGATCGAGAGTCCCACTTGAACTTGTCACCCTTGTCTGACTCTGGCAAGAAGCCATGAGATCCTCCCACAAGCTCTGGACAGCTCTCTCAAGGAGAGTTACTTCCTGCCCCGCCCCCATCCCTCACCTTGGGTCTTTCCCAAGAAGTCAGCAGTTGTGCAAGCGATGCTCCAAAAGGCACACAGAGTTCTCCAGCAGAGGTCACAGCATGTACACCGCAGCTCCACAGCACCTCCTCCAGGCAGTTGGCTTTGATTTACTACAACCCCAAAGTACTACGCACAATTCTCTCAAAGTTCTTAAAATATTTAGTTAGCTATTGTTCTCATTTCTATGTGAGGATGCCAATTCCATGTTTTTATTTTTTGTCTTTTCTGTTAGACTCTAAGATTTCTGATGGGTGCAACCGTTCATTCATTAGTCACTATTCTAAGGGAAGTTGAGGAAGATTAGATGCTGCCAACTTCAGAGCCTATAAGAAGCACGACAGGCAATGAATGAATGAAGAAAGCCAGGTGTAGCACAAAAGAGAGTGGTAGTGACTGTGGCAAAGTGCCAAAGGCTTGCTTGTGCGCCTAAGATAGAGTCGCTGCCTATCAGTTCCAGCCAAGCACAGCCAGGAGGGGATGCAGACACACTATTGTCAGATCTTGGAAATAAGCAAGAAAAACTCACATTGGGTATTTCATGTAAAATCTTCTGATTTCTAAATGCTGATACTAATTTAAATTAAAAAACAAATAAACAAACAAACTACTACTCTGCAAGCTAAACAAAGCTGCATTTGGTCTTCAAGCTGCTAATTCACAATTCGTAACCTCTGGAAACCTTCCAGACCTGATATGTTCCAATTCCACAGCCCAGAATATGTGCTCATATTGCTGAGGATATGAATGGGTGGCTGGGTGAGTCGATTGGCTGTCAAACTCTTTGCCACTCATGGACTGTAGCTCACCAGGCTCCTCTCTCCATGAGATTTTCCAGGCAAGAACACTGGAGTGGGTTGCCATTTCCTCCTCCGGGGGATCTCCCTGACCCAGGGATTGAAGCCTTGTCTCTTACATCTCCTGCATTGGCAGCAGATTCTTTACCACTGAACCACCACAGGACGTCCCTGTGGGTCATTTAGCCGTAATGAAATTTATAGTCTCAGGGGCAGCAGACTGGCATTCCAGCATGGGCCTTCTTCCATGCCACCTGCCTGGACAGTACCACCAAACCCTCCGAACAGGATAACAGCTAGTGTGTGCCAGGTAGTAGACTGGGCATTTCCTACTCACTATCTCTAATCCCATAACAACAGTATATCTGCATACATTCTAATTTACCAGATGAAAATTCCAGGGCTCAGTAAGGTGAAACAGATTTTCCAAGGCCAAATAGCTAATAAATGATGGAGGTAGGATTCTCTCCTGGGCCCATCAGACTGCAGAGTCCATTCTCTTTCCACACCAGCACCCTCCCTAAGGAACTGGGCACACCCACTCTCCCTTATATGGAACAAAGTTGTCTGGTACCCAAGATTCTACAGGGATGCACTGGCAGGGTTGAGGTCAAAGTCCAGATGTCAAACTCCTATTTGTAGTACCAGACTACTCTGGGATAGAAAATACCTGGGATACATACCACTACTCATCTATCCAGGGCCCAGGGCAGACATGACTAATCTATCTCTATGCTGCTTATACTTTTGGCAGCCACAACCAGTTAATCACAGCTGGCCCCCATGAACAAACATATTTGCCATCCTTGGCCAGGAAAGAACTCTCATAAATGGAGGATGTAGAAGCTCTAACCAGAGTCTGGTGGCAAGCAGAGATAGATGGAAACCACTATCTTTTGAACTGAAAGAGCCTTAAACATGTGATAGGAGAAAAGACAGAAGGAAGGAGAAAGGATGAAGTTGGGCTCTGTCTGTGGTCTTATATCCCAACCCAGACAGGCGTGGGGGCCGGCCTGGTTTGCACAGCAAGCTGGGTGACCTCACGGGTCTGTGTTGGGGCCGCGGGGTGGTTGTGGTGAAGAGGGGCCAAGGAACTGGATACATCTGAGCTGAGAAGAGTGAAAACACTTTGGATCCCGCATTTGGCTTTGCTTTCTAAAAAGAGTTTGGTTTGTTTTTCTGGCATTTATTTATTGTTAAAACAGCTCTTCAGGAACATTAAAGGACATTTTGTGAAAGAAAAGCATCACCCCCCCGAGCCCCCTGCTCACACACAACTGTTTCCATTTTCCCTTCTTCCCTCTGATCCTCCTTCACATGCATACCTAGGCAGGGCTGAAACCAGCCAGCACGCAATAGGGAATGCCTGCTTCTTTCATTCAACACAACAAGGTAATCACATTCCCACATTTGTGCTGCCTTCCAAATGACATCTTTTAAATGACTACACAATATACCGTGATTGGCCTAGAGTTGCTGGCTACTAGGTCTGGAAGTCTCTATGTTTTTTATATTTTATGCTACAATGAATATCTTTGTGCATTTAGCATTTTTGATAACTTTTCTTAGGCTAAGGAAGCAAGACTATTGGGTTGATATGAAACCTTGTGTGAATACCACTCTGACTTTCTGCCCTTGCTTTTGACCTCACATGTGTCTAAACTCTTGAGAGTTTTCAAAGTGCTGTCCCTCAGCTGGGAGGTGGGGAAGCCCACTCCAGGCCTCGATGGAGTCTTCGCTTGCTTTTCACGCTCCTCTTGCAAGGTTCCTGCATGTCCATAAGCCCTGCCTGCAGGGGTGGGGGTTGCACGTAGAGAGGGGGTGGGATGCGGAGCCCACAGGAAAATGGGGACATGGCATCAAGGGGAGGGTGAAGCCTCTCTGGTGGTCACCAGCGTCCCCTCCTTATGCAATGCCGCTTCCCGACAGGAGGCCCTGCCTGACTTTTTAATTAAGAGAAGATGCTGTTTAGAGGGGGTGGTGGCGGGGGGAGCCTGGGAGCCCAGGCCATCTTATCAGGTGCTGATTCCCAGGACAAAACAGCAGAGAAGCCTCTACCCACCATACACAGCCCCTCCACCCCGCTCCTGCAGCTGGGCAGCCTGAGGCCAGGGTTTCCATGGGGCGGGGTGGGGCGGGGGGGCAGGCTGGCGTGAGAGCTCTCTTGGAAGGAAAGGCTGGGTGGTCTCCAAAGCTCTGGTCCCCTTCTGCCTGAGGCGCCAGGAAAGCACAACAAACACAGGCTGAGCAGCTTCAGCCCCGGCTCAGCCCCATTCCCCGGCTCAGCCCCAGCCTGGCACCACCCCGCTCCTGCAGCTGGGCAGCCTGAGGCCAGGGTTTCCATGGGGCGGGGTGGGGCGGGGGTGCAGGCTGGCGTGAGAGCTCTCTTGGAAGGAAAGGCTGGGTGGTCTCCAAAGCTCTGGTCCCCTTCTGCCTGAGGCGTCAGGAAAGCACAACAAACACAGGCTGAGCAGCTTCAGCCCCGGCTCAGCCCCATTCCCCGGCTCAGCCCCAGCCTGGCCCCCGCCCGGCCCTGCCCAGCCTCAGTTGCTGAGTCCACATTGGCTGAGAGCACCACTTCATTGCCCGGGAGAGGTTTGCCAGTTTCACCCATCTAGTCCCCCCTCCTCTCCCATTCAGCCCACTGGGGGCTCAGGATTGGGTGGGTATGACTGTAGGCCACACCCACGACCTCACCTCCAGCCCACTGTTTCAGCCTGTGGTTCCACAGAGCTGCAGGGCTTCTGCCCCACACACAGGGCTGGAGACCACCCTGGGTTCACACCAGCCCAGGAGAGTCCTAGCCAGCCCATAGTCGATGGTTACTTATAGAGCCCTTGCTTTCTATGTCAGACACTGTCCTGAGCTGATGCTGGGGCTACAGAGGTGAACAAGACAGAGTCCTGACATGAGACCTTGGGCAAGTCAACTTCTGACTTCAGAGTCCTCATGGATACATGGGGGCACTGTGAGAATTAAGTGAGATCATATATGTGAAGTGCTTAAACCAGTACCCAATATACAGCAAGTGGTATGTAAATGTTAGATTTTTACATTGTTATTATTCTTTCTAGTTGTAAGCGATAAGCAAACAAAAATCAGAAATAAATGAGAAAAATCCAGGCATTGGTAACTGCTGTGAAGAAGTTAAAATATGGTAATGTAATGAACAGAGGCTGGAATTTGAGAAAATGTGAAAATGCTTTAGCTTAGGTGGTGGAGGAAGGCCTTTCTGAGGAGATAACACTGAAGCTGGAACTNTCGCGACCCCATGGACTGCAGCCCACCAGGCTCCTCCGTCCATGGGATTGTCCAGGCAAGAGTACTGGAGTGGGGTGCCATTGCCTTCTCTGGTATTGGATAGCACAGGTGTAAAATATTTTCATCATTGTGGAAAATTCTATTAAGCATCTCTGCCCTAGAGCTTTGGGAGGAAAAAAAAAAAAGAGATGTTGACATGAGATGAGGCAGGAAAGGCAAGCAGGGGCCAGACCCCAAAGGACCTTGGAGGTCAGAGTGAGGTGCTTGGTGTTTGTCCGAGGTGCACTGGGAAATCCTTAGGGTGTCCAGATTTCGGATTGGGGTAGGGAGGTGCACCTGCTGATTCTCCCACTTCTGTGAACCTGAGGAATCCTCCAAGTCAGAGTTGAAGGGGAACAGACATGCTTGCTGAATCTGCCCAACCTCCAAGTTCTACACAGGAACAGTGCAGAAACTCCCCGGGAACTGGCCTTTCCCCGGGGGACGCGTGGCTCCCTCAGTGAAGGCAGAGGTGCTGCCAGCACACAGCCCTCACCGCCAGTGCTTTTCATGAACTGCCTTGGCCGAATGTCCAAGGCCCCTCACGGCGGGCCAGCCCCCGAGCCCAACTTGGGGCATCCCTGAAGGGCCATCCCAGTGCCAGAGTTCCCTGGGGTGGGCCGGGCCTTCCTTGAGACTGCACTTCAGCTCAACTTCTCCCTTTGCCCACTCCTGCTTCCTCCCTTTCCCTTCCCCTGGGCTTCCCAGGGCACCCATTGGCCTCAGACGCTCAGCATCTTAGGAGCACAGCTGGTCCTTTCGCCCATTGGTGGGAGACAGTGGAGGAGTCAGCGCACAGTCGCTATGACGACAGCACTAAGCAAGCACAGCCTTGATCAGAAGGCAGCCGCCTCCGAGGGTGGCCACCAGAGGGTCCCCAAAGGGTCCCCAGATGGGACAAGTCCTGAAGGGTGAGGGATCATATTCACTGAGTGCCCTCCTGGGCCACGCAGTTTCCACGTGTGGCCCTAGGGCCCCTCCCCAGGCCTCTAAGAGCAGCACTGTAGCGCTCATCCTTCTGGGAGTAAAGCTCGGCCTTTGTGAGACCCCATAGTGAGCCAGGTTTCCCACGGCGCCCAGATGCCAGGACCAGGATGTGAACCCCGAGCTTGCTGATTCTGGAATCTACTCTTTTTGCTGTACTGCGCCGTGCAGTGCAAACTTACAAAGTCCTGAACTCAAGGATGTCATGAGTTGAAGCACAAATTCATGTTAGGGAATGTGGACACTTGGGGCTCATCTCGCCTTTGCTGTAGTCAAGAACCAAAGTGACCCTCTTCCCTCCTCCGCCACTTCACCCAGAGAGACTTCACGGTATAGCTGCAGCTACCATCTAATGTCTGTCTTTGTCACCATTTTCCCAGACTACAAACACTGTTTTGATGTGCTAACAGACCCTAATCGAGATGGTGTTTAATAAAGTATTCAGTGCAACCCAGGATGGTCAATCCAGCTACTCTCCTGACCTCTGAGCTCCCTTGAGAGCTGGCTGGGGGATGAAGGCCTATCCCAGGCACTGGGGCAGAACAATTTGGGGAAGCTGAAATCCCCGAGGGCAGTGCACAGTGGGCAAGGCTTGGAAAGAGTCCAGGAACATTGTGACTTCAGCAGATGGAAAAAAAAACCACCCATAAAAGAGTCACTTGGGGATGAGAGTGGTGACACCCTGGGGACAGGTTGAGGCAGCTTGGGAAGACGTCAGGAGGCACCATCCTTATCACCAGGCCCTGGACATGACCCCAGACTACACAGTTGGCTTCTGAAGAAATAGGCCTCCCATGGTACTATGGTCAGAAAGTCTGCAGGACTGGGGCCAGGATTGGTGGCGGGTGGGGGGGTAGAGCTAAGCCAGGATCAAAAGGAGATGTGAAAAAAAGAGAAACAATATCCTCTGTCTTATAAAAAAAAAATCAGAATAGAAACCTGCCATCATGAGGCAATAATCCCACAACCCTTCCAAAGATGGGGCAGAAGGACTACCTAGCTCAGTTCCCACTCGTGGTCTCCATGGGGGGATGGAGGGAAATGATGAGTTAGCATTGTGACCCCAGTCCTCTTGAGCACCAGGTCAGGCGACCAGGGCATCTCTGCCAGCCCCCAGATGCCCTCCCAAAAAAAGCAAGAAAGAGATTCAAGGGGAGTGAATGCTCATATGCAGTGCTAAAGCCTGCCTATGACTTTCTGAAGGTTTAGGGTCAGGAAACTCTTCCTTGTAGGCACTGAGATTTAAGAAACTTTTAACATTCTAAGACATTTAAAAATTGGTGTGGGGACTTCCCTGATGGTACAGTATTTAAGAATCTGTGCTCCCAATGCAGAGGGCATGGGTTCGCTCCCTGGTTGGGGAACTAAGATCCCATATGCCGCATAGCACAACTAAAAGAAAAAATAATAATAAAAATTGGTTTTAACATTTCTCTTTTGGGTTTTTTTTTTGGTGGGGGGGAATCTTAGTTCCCCAACATGAGATTGAACCTAGGCTGTTGAAGTGAAACACACAATCCTAACCACTGGACTGCCAGCCAGGAAACTTCTCTTTGTTTTTGGTAAAGTTGTTGAAGCAGTTTGAGTCCATCTGAGCTGGAGGAGAATAAGGAGACAATCTGTCGGCATGGCTCAGGCAGAGGAGGGTAAAGGGACCTTGGGCAGCTGGGGACAAAGGCAATACAGGGTACCCCTTGGGGACGGTATTGCAGGAGCAAATGCTGTCTGGATGCAGTAGCCCTTGACTGGACAAACGTCAGCACTGCCCATGACACGTAGGGACAAGGTGAGCAGTCAGAGGATATTGGAGGTGATAGAGCAGACTTTCTTGCCTTAAGCTCTCCACTGGTGCAGGTTCTTTCTTCTGAGGGAGGTGCTTCATTCGGTTTTTATAAGAAGAGGAGGATTCCCTTCTACTCCAATGAAACATCCTTGTCCATCTGCCTCCAGAAAGATACAATGGAAGTTTGGGGCAGGGAAGACAGGTGAGTCAGATGCCAGCCAAGTGAAACAGAAAATCAGCTCACAACTGGAAGGCTTTTCCCTCTCTCACTGAGGGGTTTTGCTTACACTCCTGGCATTTTTTTTTTTTTTTTTGGCTGCACTGCATTCTTGCTGCTGTGCAAATGCTTTCTCTAGTTGTGGAGCATGAGGTCTAGAGCACACAGGCTCAGCAGCTGCAGGGCATGGGCCTCTCTAGTTGTGACTGGCACGTGGGATCTTAGTTCCCTGGCTAGGAACTGAATCAGCATCCTCTGCATTGGAAGGCAGAGTCTCAACCACTGGACCACCAGAGAAGTCCCTCCAGCATTTCTTACAACACTGGGAGCCACTGTACATGAGATTTGGTAAAGCAGACCAGGGTTCAAATGCCAGTGACTCTCAGTAGCTGTGGAGCCCCCCACAAGCTTCTTTTAATTTCTCGCGGCCTCAGTCTGCTTATTTACAAGTGGAGCTGATAGTAGCAACTTGCAAGAGTTGTGAAGGCAGGACATATGGATGCAAGTGTCTCGCTGAATCAGCATTCGGTAAACGGCAGCAAGACTTTCTTGCCTTAAGCTCTCCACTGGTGCAGGTTCTTTCTTCTGAGGGAGGTGCTTCATTCGGTTTTTATAAGAAGAGGAGGATTCCCTTCTGCTCCAATGAAACAT